ATACTAAACTGAAACATCTGGACAAAAATACCCCGGCGGGGTTAGTGCGGACCGCACAAAATCACGTGCGGCCGCACTAGGGCTCTAAACTTGAATAAACGGCTCTATGAACTTGGGCAATGCGGACCGCACAAAATCTAGTACAGTCGCGGTAGTTTCTAGTGCAGTCCGCATGAAATGGAGCGCAGACCGCATTGGGCTTCAAACTTGGAACTGGCAGCTCTCTGAACCTTCTTTCTGCGGACCGCACTAAATCGAGTGCGGCCGCATTGATCCCAGTGCGGACTGCAGAAAACCTCATGCGGCCGTATTGCCTCTTTGCCTGAATAGCAGCCTCTCAGAACCTCACTTGTGCGGACCGCACAGAATGGTGTGCAGCTGCACTGGCCCTGTTTTGCCTGAGCTTTATCTTGTCTTGATACTTGTGCAAGTTTCACTCCTTTTTGAGCTGATCTTTGACATTTTGTCACCTTGTTGATCAAACCTGCAATCAAGCACAACTTGTGAGCCTTTTGGGATGATTTTGTACATATTTCTAATCAAAACTCTAGCATGGAGGAGTATAAAATGTAACAAATCGCTAGTTACCAGTAATGATGCAAACATAAAATAGCAATTACAGAATTAGGTTGAGGACGTTATTATAAAGAACTTAACCAAAAATATACCAGAACAAACTGATGTTGGTTCGAGACCTAATATTATTCAAGAACCGGAAGAAAATGAAAATATTATGACAACTACCAAAGAACACTAAGCTGTAATGCTATTTATACATTGGTCAGAAAAAAAAGTTTACATCGGAGCAAATTTAAGCCCAAAGATGAAAGGTAAGTTGATTGAATTTTTGCGAACTTACACAGATTGCTTTGCTTGATCGCACTCAGATATGACTTGTATACCACCGGAGGTGATGACCCACAAACTGAATGAGAATCCGTTATACCAACCTGTCAAGTAGAAGAAGAGGAAGCAAGGATCCTTCAAAAATCAAGTGATCTAGGATGAGGTACAAAAGCTTTTAAAAATTGGGTCAATATGAGATGTAAAGTATCCTGACTAGTTAGCTAATAACGTGAGAGTTCCCATAATGAATGGAAAATGGCGAGTTCGTGTAGATTATATTGTATACGATCAAAATCAAAGAACCCGATTTCGAAGTTCTAAACTGGGCTATGAGTCCGAGTCCGGGCGACTCGAAGTATAGGTCAGACCCGGTTAGAGAACACACACCTCAAGGAAGCAGATCGAAGGCCTTGCTCCAGGGCAATGCAATCTCAATGGCACTCAATAAATAGCGGGAATTTCTCAAGGACACGTGGGTTAGGGCATAAATTAAAGGATAAGATTTGTACGAAATGGTACAGGTCCGTACTAGGTTACTGTACACTTGTACCAATTGAATTCTTTACTACAATTGGGAATATACTATATTGGGGTTTTCTTCTCCTATATAAAGGGGACCACAGTAATTTTGTAACGATCATCTCACATTATTCATTGCAATAGAATATTCTACTCTGCTTTTCTTGCTTAACGCGCTCAACAAGTGTTCTTTAGCTTTATTGTTTTTACTTCTTTATTCATACTTCATCGCTCTTAGCTGACCTCGAGGCCTCCAAGAAAGTCAAGCTCGAGGTCCTCATTGTTATAGCAACACCAGTTTGGTTCATCAATTATTCTTACTTAAATTTAATATTACTTGTATATTCACTAGTACTAGAATAAATCACATATCTTTAAAATCACAAATTATCTTAATTATTACCCCCATATCTTGAGGTAAACAGTTTGGTGCCCACTATGGGGCTAAAGATAATAGTGATTGTTTTAGTGCTAGTTTTCTGATAACACACGTTATTTTTTACACTTTTTCTTGTCAAAGATGCTTTGATTTCAGGCTTCAACATGTCTAGCACACAGAATGCACCTATTCACGAGGACGAAGGTCTTGGAGAAAATAGCGGTATAGGGGTCGGTGTACCACCCATAAACCCTGAGGGAGTGCCAAACATGGAGCTAGTTGATATCAGTTCACACAATGCTCTAAACACGGACGTAGACCCAGACCCTGCAAGGAGCGCACACAAGAAAGCCTGAGCAGCAGGCCAAGAAACACGAGGGATGGAAGAAGGAGGAGTCAGCCAACAAGTCATTTTCATGATGCTACAAGCTTAGCAAGTCGCCATCTCTCTGCTTCAGAGTTAGAACAGAACTCCTAACACAGTCGAACTAGAGAACACTCAGCATACGTAACCAACAAGGCCCGATGAAAATGGCTCGGGGACTGACCCCGCTATTATGAAAATGCTCGAGAATCTTGCCAAAAGGATAGACATCGAAGAAAAGAAGATTGAAAAAAATGATAAAAAGGTGTAAACATACAACTCTAGGGTCAACCAGATACCGGGAGCACCTCCGATTTTAAAAGGACTGGACTCGAAGAAGTTCGTGAAAAAACCATTCCCCCAGAGTGCGGCTCCGAAGCCCATCCCGAAGAAGTTTCAGATGCCAGATATCCCAAAATACAATGGAACCACTGATCCCAATGAGCACATTATCACATACATTTGTGGCATAAAAGGGAACGATTTGGAAAACGATAAGATTGAATCAGTTTTGCTAAAAAGGTTTGGGGAAACTCTGTCTAAATGTGCCATGATTTGGTACCATAACCTACTCACGAACTCTATCGATTCGTTTTCCATGTTGGTAGATTAATTTGTGAAGGCACATGCCGGTGCCATAAAAGCTGCAATAAGGAAGTCTGACGTATTCAAAATAAAGCAAAGGGAGAACGAGATGCTGAGGGAATTTGTATCCCATTTTCAATCAGAACGAATAGAATTACAACCAGTCTTGAATGACTGGGCCATACAAGCCTTCACTCAGGGGCTAAATGAACGATGTTCGATAGCTTTGAAGCAGTTGAAGTAGAACTTGGTCGAGTCTACCACTGTGACTTGGGCTGATGTGCATAACAGGTACAAATCAAAAATTATGGTCGAAGATGACCAATTGGGAGCCCCTTAGGGCTTAGTTTATACAATCAGGTTACTAGCAAGGGAATCAGGAAATGCAGACACGAGATCAAAATTCAAGAAAGAATGGTATCAACCACATGATCGAAGGAACAACGGCCCAAGTCAAAACACTTATTGGAGCGATCGAAGAAGTTACTGGGGACATGATTCACGATGGCTCATGAGAAAGAGCAGGTTCAATAAGCATGCCAACCCCGCCGAGGTCCCCCGATTATCAGAATACAACTTCAGCATAAATGCATCAGGGATCGTCTCAGCTATTAGGAAAATCAAATATGCTAAGTGGCCCAGGCCAATACAGACCAATCCCTCCCAAAGGAACTCGAACTTGATGTGAAAGTATCATGGCACGCATGGTCATATAACGGAGGATTGTGGGCAGCTAAGGGAGGAAGTGTCTAGGTTATTAAATGAGGGCCACCTTCGAGAATTCCTGAGTGATCGGGCTAAGAGTCACTTCAGGGAAAGAGATGCAGGCAGAAAGAATGAACCTGAAGAACCTCAACATGTCATTCATATGATCATTGACGGAATCGACATCCTACAGGGACCTGTATTCAAACGAACCAAGGTATCCATCACAAGGGATAAATGTACTTGGGATTACATGCCCCAAGACACCCTCACATTAAGTGAGGAAGACATTGATGCTTTATCTCAACCTCACAATGATGCACTAGTAATTTCTTTCCTTTTAAATAAAGTTCAAGTTAAACGTGTTCTCGTGGATCTAGATAGTTCGACAAATATAATCAGGTCAAGGGTCGTGGAGCAGCTATAGCTGTTCGACCAAATCATACCGGCATCTCGGGTCTTGAATGGCTTTAACATGGCAAGCACAAATACGAAAGGAGAAATCATCCTCCCAGTCAACGTGGTTGCGACCATCCAAGACACCAAATGTCATGTCATCGAAGGTGACATGAGGTATAATCTTTGCTTGGAAGGTCGTGGATCTATAGTATGAGGAAGGTGCCATAAACCCTCCATCAGATCATGAAGTTCCCAGCAAAGGATGGCATGAAAATAGTATATAGAGAGCAGAATACAGCTAAGGAGATGTTTGTAGTACATGAGTTGGCACCAGTATCGGCACCATCCACATCAGAAAAGTCGAAGGACGAACATGTGGCCATATAGCAATAACATCCCGTGCTCTCGGTTGAGCCCGAGGGACATGTGTCCGGAGAATAGGTTGCCGAGGACGAAGAAGAAGATTTTGTCACCCCCCAAGCCTTCATTGCTCCCGAAGAATCGGATGCGGCGAAGTCCACAGTCGAGGAACTCGAGCAGGCCATATTGATCGAGCATCTTCCAAAATGAAAGACATGACAGGAATCCCACCTGAGATAACTACCCATCGACTAAGTGTCGATCCTAGATTTAAACCGGTGAAGCAAAAGAGGAGACCTCTGTCCGAGGTAAAACATGCATTCATCAAAGAAGAGGTATCCAAACTTCTCAAAATAGGATCCATTAGGGAAGTAAAATATCATGAATGGCTAGCTAACGTAGTGGTAGTCCCTAAAAAGTGGAATAAACTTAGAATGTATGGAGACTATAAAGATTTGAACAAAGCTTGTCCTAAAATTCTTTCCCACTACCTAACATCGATCGATTAATCGATGCTATGGCTAGCCATGAGATCCTTACCTTTCTCGATGCCTACTTCAGGAACAATCAGATTCAAATGAACCCAGAGGACCAAGAAAAGACTTTGTTCATCACGAAGTATGGTACATATTGTTATAATCTAGTGCCCTTCGGGATAAAGAACGCATGGGCCATATATGAGTGCCTAGTTAATAAGATGTTCGAACATCAAATAGGCAAGTCCATGAAAGTTTATATTGATGACATGTTAGTTATATCCCTGCACCCAGATGACCATTTAATGCATTTGCAGGTAACATTCGACGTCCTAAGAAAGTACAACATGAAGCTTAACCCCGAGAAATGCGCTTTTGGAGTCGGCTCAGTCAAGTTCTTGGGCTTCATGTATCGAACAGAGAGATAAAGATCAACCCTGATAAAATCAAAGCCATCGAGGAGATCACCGTGGTGAACAATGTGAACGTCGTACAACGGCTGGCCGAGAGGATAGCTGCCCTAGGCCGATTTATCTCGAGGTCTTCAGATCGGAGCAATCACTTCTTTTGCCTACTTAAAAGGAAGAAGAACTTCGTATGGACTACGGAAAGCCAACAAGCCTTGGAATAGTTAAAATGGTATCTCTCGAGCCCACCCCTACTCCATACTCCGAAAGATGATGAAACACTCTAATTGTATCTATCTGTATATGAAGTAGTGGTAAGTGGCGTGTTGGTTCGAGAAGAGAAAGGTAGGCAATTTCTTGTCTATTATGTGAGCCGGACCCTAGCAGATGCTGAAACCAGGTACCCCCATTTGGAAAAGTTAGCTCTTGCATTAATAAGCGCATCTAGGAAATTAAAACCATACTTTCTATGCCATCCTATATGTGTATTGACTACATACCCGCTTCGAAATATCTTGCATAAGCCCGAACTATTAGGCAGATTGGCAAAATGGGCAATCGAACATGGAGGATATGATATTGAATATCAGCCCCGAACGACTATCAAGTCTCAAATTTTGGAAGACTTTGTGGCTGATTTCGCGCCTACCCTCATACCTCAAGTAGAAAAGGAAATCTGGCTAGTAACGGGTATGGCATCAATGATATGAACCCTCTTCACAGACAGTGCCTCGAATGTGAAAGGGTCCGAGCTCGGCATCATTTAAAACCACATACGGGCGGTGTCATCAGGCAATCTATCAAGACTCCTAAATTAACAAACAATGAGGCCGAGTATGAGGCCATGATTGCAGGTCTTGAACTAGCCAAGGGCCTTGGGCCAGAGGTCATCGAGGCAAAATGTGATTCTTTTTTGGTAGTAAATCAAGTAAACAGGAGCTTCAAGGTTCAAGACGACCGAATGCAGAGGTACTTGGACAAACTTCAAGTGACATTGCACCGCTTAAGGGAGTGGACGTTGGATCATGTACCTCGAGAGCAGAATAGCAAGGCCTATGCACTTGCAAACTTGGGGTAATCAGTTGAAGAAGATGATAGCGTCCTGAGGATTGTTGTCCAACTATCGAAGTCAGTAGTCGAAGAGGGCCATGCAGAGATTAATTCAACAAGTTTATCATGGGATTGGATGAATATGTACATCGACTATTTGAAGCATGGGAAGCTCCCCGCGAACCCAAAAGAGTCGAGAACACTTCGAACCAAAGCATCTCGATTCTCACTCAATGAAAATGGAACGTTGTATGGAAAAACCTTCGATGGACCACTGGCAGTGTGCTTGGGACCCGAGAATACTGATTACGTACTACTAGAATTCCACAAGGGTACTTGTGGAAACCATTCTGGTGTAGACTCTCTGGTTTGTAAGGTGATAAGAGCGGGGCACTATTAGGATATCATGGAAAATGATACCAAGGACTTCATTTGAAAGTGTGATAAATGCCAAAAGTTTGCACTGACGATCCATCAACCCAATGAACAACTCTATTCAGTCCTATCCCCTTGTCCATTCATGAAATGGGGGATGGACATCGTCGGACCCTACCAACGGCGCCAGGTAAAGTTAGATTTATTTTGTTTATGATTGACTACTTCTCAAAATGGGTAGAAGCGCAGGCCTTTGAGAAGATAAGAGAAAAAGAAGGCATCAACTTCACATGGGACCACATCATATGTCGGTTTGAGATACCCGCTGAAATAGCATGTGGCAATGTAAAACAGTTCATCAGCAGTAAGGTAACAAAATTCCTTGAGGACCATAAAATCCATAAACAAAACTATCATTCGAAACTTAAAGAAAAGATTAGATGATGCTAAGGGGAAATGCAGAGAAGTGCTTCCCAGGGTGCTACGGGCATATCGAACATCTTTAATGTCAAGCACGGGGGAGACCCCATTTTCTTTGGTATACGGATATGAAGCTTTGGTCCTAGTCGAAGTCGAACCTAGTGTCAGGTTTCAGCATGGCACCGAGGACTCAAATCACGAAGCTATGAACACTTCTCTCGAATTACTTGACAAAAATGTGAGGCTGCATTGATTCAAATGGCCGAGCAAAAACAAAGGATCGAAAGGTATTACAATAGAAGGACAAACCTTCGATATTTCAGAGTCGGGTACTAGGTCTTAAGGAAAGTCACCGTCAACACTCGAGACCCAAATGAAGGGACGCTAGGTCCTAATTGGGAAGGACCGTACCGTGTCCTCGAAATCGTAGGGAAAGGACCCTACAAACTTAGCACAATGGAAGGCGATCAACTACCAAACAATTGGAATGTATCAATGATCAAGCGATATTACTGCTAAGGTGTGACCTTCTCCCCTTTTCCATTTGTATTCAAAGCTAACTCCTTGCAGATGTTTGATTGGAGATATCGATGCATCTATCAGCTCGAAGGCCTTAGGTTTGAAAGCATGCGTTGCACTCTTTTTCCCTTAGGTCAGGTTTTATCCTAAATGGGTTTTACCGGCAAGGTTTTTAACGAGGCAACACCTATATGCTACCTAAGGAACATTCAAAAAAGTATTCAAGGCTTCTTTTCAATCAACCTTGAACAATAAGGGGGCATCACCCTCGTAGGACGCATCCTCGAAGAAAGCAATTCATGCCAAGGAGGGCCTCGATAGGGAATAATGTAATGGGCGAAACGGTCAAAAGAACCGTGTCGACATAGAACGGTCAAGCCCCTTGCGGCAAAACATGTATGCATTATTTGAAGAAGCGTTTTTATTATATCTAAACACTTTGTGCCTTAAAGAAGTCTACTATTTTCACATTTAATGGCTCAAAGGCCAAAACCCCGAAAGCACTTGAACACTGGGGGACTGTTATCAACTATCGACATATCGAGTTATTGAACACTTGAACTTAGAAGACCTCAAAGAGGCACATTTGACCTCTCAAGACCTCGAAGAGGCATCCCCTCGATATTAAGTCCAAGGCCATCACACTCAGGGACTAAAGGCTACGGCCAAATAAAAGTGTTTACTTCGAAAATGGTAATTACAATTAAATTTGATTATGTGGTTCTAAAAATATGTTATTTATTTTAATGCTAGTTTTTAGGTAGTAGATGCTAAGTATGAAACTAAAAAATAAGATAAGAGCTTGAAAATAGTATGTTTATGCAAACTGAGTGGCCGAGAGTCGGGGTCTAGAGCTAGCCTACATTGGGCCTCAAGGTCGAGCTATGTGTCAAGTTGTGAGTAGCCGATGAAGGATCAGCAGTTCTAAGAACTTTAATGAGGGATGTTTATTATCAATGATGAGTAATAAGTGATGAACAATCAATGAAACACAATAAATGTAAGCAATAAATCAAAGGAAAGACAATAGAGGGTGTTTAAGTTAGAGAGCAGAGAATGTTCTTGTTCTTGTATTGAATATGATATGTGCAAAAAATAACAAGGGCCCCCTTTATATAGGAGAGGAATCACAACATAGTACATATGCATTTATTACAAAGATACGCGGCTGGTACATCTATCTAATGCCACCGTACGGACTTGTACCATTCTTATAGACTAGGTCAGCTCTAACCATTTGCCTCGGGAATCTCCCACTCGTTCATCATAGCTACTGATTTGTACTACCCCGAGGTCAAGCTGTGCCTCGATCCTTCTGGTACATTAGACCTCGAGCTGTGTCTTAATCCTTCTGGCAACGTGCTATGGAATGCCATGATGGTCCCAAAATAGGACTCTCCGCTTTTAGCCGTATACAAAAAGACTACGGTCATATGAAAAAGGCTACACCTGAAATAATACAGCTCGAGACGTCCAACTTCCGCCATAAAACTAAAGGCCTTCATATACTTCGAAAAAATCGGTTAACTCAAGGTACCATCGGCAAAAGTAAATTATAAGGGGCATCGATAAAATCAGCCGTTGAATAATCTAAAGGCTTCGATAACACCAGCCTTCGGAAAAACCTTAAAAGGTTTTCGATCATGCCTACACAAGCGAAATGACTAATAAGGTTCCGATACATCAAGCCTTCAAAAAACCCAACGGGTACAAAAACACATGCGAAGGCATAACTAAAATTTTACCTAGTCTTTTAGCTGAAATGAGGGAAAAACTATATAGCCATTTTAGAGGCCGAAACGACCCAATTTAAAGAGGCTAAAGGCCAACCTAAAAGAGCCTAAGGGCCAACTTAAAAGACCTTAAGGGAGAATATTTAAAGAGCTTTAAGGCCGAAGCACATCATGCTCGGAGACCTTACCTAGCTCAGACTCAAAAGTCCAAAGCTAAAACTTAGCTCGAAGATCAAACATTAAATAGTGACCTATTATCGATCGTTGATCAAAATACAAAGCTCTGAGGGTCTACTCTACCCTGAATTTGGTTCAACGCTCAGAGGTCAGAGCATAAAAAATTTAACAAACGTTGAAGAAAAATTGAAGGAAAACGACTAATGAAATTTCTTTTTATATATACAAAAAGATATTACATGGGAGTCATACAAAACAAAATATACAAAAAGATGGAAAAAATTCTACCTACTCAAGAGGGGCATTCCCCATCGGGACCTGTCGTTTCCCCGGGACCAGCCTTTTCCCTAGTGGTAACTTCTTCGACAGCCCCCTCATCTTCATCATCTTCGGCATCATCGTCTTCATCGGAGGAAAGGACAAATTTGGCATCGGACTCTTCTTCCTTAGCTTGCTTTATCTCCTCGGAAAGATCAAAACCCTTAGTATGAATCTCTTCGAAGGTCTCCTTTCGAGATCGGTGTTGGACATAGTCATTGCTTCTTTTTTCTCGATCGGAAGCCTCCCTCAACTCCATTTGAGCATCGGCAGCATCTTTCAAATATATGGCTACCGTCCTGTCAGCCTTAGTCTGTACTACGCTGGCTTCGGCCCTGACTTCCACCATTTCAGCCTTGGCCTTCACAAGACCAATCTCGAGCTCAGTATAGAAGCGAATAGGTGTTGCAAGGTGGAAAAGTCCTTAATGAGAAGAGAAATCAAGTGTATATATATAGTGGAAGGCGCTGATGGTTCATTAGTAGTCATGGCCGATCGGCTCTAACGTGCATTTATTATTTTTGGGGAAAAGAACCGATGTGACACTTCGGTAATTTCAATGCTTACGTCATAAGAGTGGTGCCATCATAAATGACTTCGGGAACCCAAATCGTTTCATATCATTTCATTCTAAAAAACGCAGGGACTATCTATATATGGTTAAAATCAGGGAACCTGATGTCGAAGTCTTAAACTGGGCTATGAGTCCGAGTCCGGGCGACTCGAAGTAGAATTCAGACCCGGTTGGAGCACACACACCTTGAGGAAGCAAATCGAAGGCCTGGCTCGAGGGCAATGCAATCTCGAGGGCACTCAAGAAAGAGCAAAAATTTCTCAAGGACATGTAGGTGAGGGCATAAATTAAAAGATAAGATTTGTACGGAATGGTACAGGTCCGTACTAGGTTATTGTACACTTGTACCAATTGAAGTCATTACTACAATTAGGAATGTACTATATTGGGATTTTCTCCTCCTATATAAAGGGGACCCCAATCATTTTGTAAGGATCATCTCACATTATTCACTACAATAGAATATTCTACTATGCTTTTCTTGCTTAACGCACTCAACAAGTGTTCTTCAACTTTATTGTTTTTACTTCATTATTCATACTTTATCACTCTTAGCTGATCTAGAGGCCTCCAAGAAAGTCGAGTTTGAGGTCCTTGTTGTTATAGCAACACTGGTTTGGTTTATCAATTCTTCTTATATAAACTTAATATTACTTGTATATTCACTAGTACTTTTTTTTTTGGCAAAACACTAGGCTTAGCGCCTAGGGCTAATTTTTATTAATAAAAGAAAATTAAACAACAAATTACATTGTCAGGTGGTCTTAATCTATGAAATTGATAACATTTGAAAATTACATTAAAATTATTATCAATATTGAGTAGTGCGCTCAATATTGATATCACACGATAATTGCTAGCTATACTAGTCATGAAGTAACTAATAAAGCCAATGTACTTTGCATCCATAGA